TTTTTTTTTTTTTTTTTTTTTGGCTCGTCACATTTGGGTGCACGAGGGTTAGTGTGCTACTAGCTTACGTGGTGACACGTAGTTAAAGTGAAAGACAACCTCTGCGGCCGGTGACCCTTGGAGAGGCAAAGGAGGCGTTTGAAGCTGAGGTGTGAGGACAGCAAACATTCCTGTCGGTTGCCAGTTAAACGGGTGAATGTAAACGGGGTGGAGGGGTAATTTGGGGAATTGACTTGGGTAGTTCTGGGTTGCAGGTAAAATTTGGAGCACTCGTTGGACACCGTAAAAGCTGTTTCGGTTTGGGGGTTTAAAACAAATATTTGTCCGTACGATAAATTTTTGAGGGGGTTTATTGTTCCGTACGATTCGCTTCAGACCTGGACCAATCAAATTCATCCACGTCACTTACCGGGAACACCGTCGTCCTCTGTCACGTGGCTCTTCCATATTGATTGGTGCGTCTCTTTTTTTTTTATTTATATTTATATTTTTTTTTAGTCCCAAGTGAATATATCGAGAACAGTTTCCAAAATTTATGAAAATAATTTTAAAATAAAAACCTCAAAAATAATAAACATTTTTTATTTATATTATATTTACATTAATAACTACTTGCTTATCTTTTATATTTATTTTTTTTACTTTATTTAAAATTTAATAAAATGTTTAGTTTAAGATTGTTTCTTAACTATTTTAAATATCCTCATTAAAAAATAGTAAAAAATTGAAAAAAAATTCTTACGATCGTTCGATAACTTCACATAAAATGAATTAAATAAAATTATAAACGATATATTTTAGTTTATAATAAGTAGAGAAAAATATTCGAAACGATCTAAATTAATTATTTAATAGCTGAATGTTCGTGTAATGGGTTGGAATAATTTTTAAAATATTATTTGGCATTAAGGAAAATTTATTAATTTTAACGGAAAAAGTACCAAAACAAAAGGTTAAATATGCATTCACTTTAAACTGAACAAAAAGTTGGACTTTATAGTTTATGACTTTAATAAAGCAAGTTGGTGTTTAAATTTCAGAAATCGAATATTTAGAAATTTGTTCTGCTCCTTAAAATTCTTAATTATAATGGGATGAATTCTTACCCATATTTTTAATTTTTAATTTTATATTTAATATATTATACATAAAACGAGTGCTAATGGTGGCCTCAAAGAGGAGTGGATCGTGAGATTCTACATCGGTTGTAGAAGGGAACAAAGCATTCTTTATAAGAGTCTGGAAACTTTTTTTCTAGCAGACGTGTTTTAAAAAACCTTATGGATAAGCCCGTAAGAAAAAACTCAAAAAGAACAATATTTAATAGTAGTTGGCTTGAGCTGTTACAACACTTACTCCAGACACTTGTGATGTGTTAGTATTGAGTTCGTTTTGTTTGGTAATGAGAGATAGAGCTTGTCAACATCCTTCTCTGGTCATGTTGTTGTTGATCAAATGGATGACTATGTGATTGGTACGATAAAATATCAATTGATCCTTCAAAACTCGATCGCTTAGGCCTTGCTCAATCTTCTAAGGAGTTAGTCCCTTGGCTTAACCAACCTCTTACGAGTTCCGTGTAATTAACCTTTGCTCGACCCCTTAGAGGACCAACTAAATGGGTCACAACCAACCCCTTCGATCCTAGTAGTAAGGGTGTTCATTAACGATAATGTTTTTTTTGTTTTATATTTTCTTAAATTGTGTTTTTTTTACTAATAATTATTTTTTATTTCGTTGAATTCAAAGTTGAAATTAATTTGATCTCAAATTGATTATTGAATTTAGCAAAATTTGAAAAATAAGACAACGACAGATTTTTATTGGGCCAAAAGAAAATGGGTCAACATTCACTTTTAGCCCAAATCATGGCTTTTTTTTTTCTTTTTTCTTTTTATAGGTAATTACGTAAATAAGTTAATTTAGAACTATTTTCCAAATTCTCAAACCATTTCGATTTTAAAATAATAGTTATTTACTTTTCGTTCTAATGTAATTTCTATTATAAAAAGGTTAATATTTTAAACCTTAAAAATAATATTTATTTATTTACTCGGATGTATATATATTTATATATAAAAGTGGGACGAGTTCAAGAAATATAATTCTCATCTCCAATCTCATTAAGCTAACGCTCTTTCTCCACTTCCGTCTTTATTCTCCAGAGATCTCTCACTCTGTTTGAGGTGAGTTCTCGCACGGTGCGACGGTGATACTTGTCCAAGACGTGTTATCTGTGACTGCATTTCAAATGTCTTGGTCATGTTTGGTTAGAACGTGTCGTCCATGGTCGCATATCCATTCTAAACTCCTTTTAACTTGCTATCATGTATTATAGGGAATGTGGCTAGTCGTCAATTTTTATTACCCATGTTATATGCTATCAAATATGTGGTTGTTTATTTGCTTTTAACCTATAATATTGATTTCTTATCCATTGTTTTCAATGCACTTTTCGCTCAAGTTTCCTAAAATATTTTCTCTCAAATGTGATCGAGTCTCAATTATACGTCCAATTTGTTTGCGACATACGTTCATATGATGACTTTTTAAATTAGAACAAGTGTAGCACAATTATTGTCTGACTGTGGCTGTGACACATGACACTTAAAAAAAATCAAATTTAGACGAAGAAAATGAATATCAATTACGGTTGAGCGAAGCTCAAACTCCTTCTCTCTCTTCCCACGCACCCAATGCCTTTTCTCCCTCTTCCCGTACCTCCAGCTCCGACGTCATCGTCCATGTCGAAAAAAAAGTGGTTGAGTTTAGAATCTAGTCGTCATTCCTGTTAAAAATGAGAAATAGAATTGGATGGAAGGTGTGTATTCTCATTGATATTCCTAAAGTTAAATAGAATACAAGCTACCCACTCATGCGTACAAAGGAAGAAAATATAAAATAATTAAATATTGAGAATAAAATAAAATATATGGTAAATCAAATCATAAATAAAGAACATTAAAATATAATATCTAAGATATATTCCATAAATAATATATATTTTAAATATTATATCTCAACCATTACACATTACTGCCTCGTATTTTCTACTCTTGGACTTCAAAAATAAAAAATTAAAATTAAAAAATAATATTATACAAAAATTACACAATATTTTTATTAATAAATTAAATTGAGATTTCAACTTTGTTTTGTTTTTTTTTTTATTGAATTTATTATTTTTTAAATTATCCACTAAACCCACTATAATTTTTTATTTTATTTTTTAAAATCCCAAAATATAAAATTAATAGTTACTTATTAAGAAATTGAATATATTTTATTTTATTTTAAGATTTATGTTGTACTGATACCACGAGAATCTTGAAATTTGTCTCTTTTTATTTTAAATATTTGTTGAAAAATGGGACTACCTACTTCAACTAAATTACAATAATACCGCATTTACATTACATCATGGATGCATGTTGGGGTTTGAATTATAACGTTTAACCTACTCCATATAAGAATATCCATACTTCTTTATTAACAAATTGAATTTTTTCGTTCGATAAAGACATAATTATACCGAAGATAATACAACGGAAAAATGGGCCCGATTAAGCTTGAAAACAACAAAAACTCGGATTTTAGAACACGACTCGAGACCCAATGTAGCTTGAAGAGGAAGTCATACCCTTTATAAATTATCTCCAAACTTTTTAATATTGGTTTTAGGTATCGATATTACTTTTGAAAATTTATGGATATCTTTTTAAATTTGTTAATACCAACTGTCCGTAGTCATGATCTTGACACGCTCACAATTAGCCTTGAGGAGAACTCAAGTCCCATATTCATTTTTTGCCCGATTTTACAGCTTTGTTGAACCTTAGGTGAGATTTGTTTTTGCTAAACGAACATTGCTCGTGCAGAATCTAAGTTTATTTGACCACATATGCCGCTTGCGCGTGCATGTTTAATCATCTGTGACACTACCGACTTGCCTCTACACTAGGCCAAGTTATTAGACTCAACCTTGCCTCTACTCGGAGTCAAGGTCTCTCAATGCAACATTTTTCATGGTAATGAGAGAATGGAGATCGTTTATTTACACTTCATAAATTATCTCCAAACTTTTAAATATTGTTTTTAGGGTATTGATGTTACTTTTGAAAATTTATGGATATTTTTAAAATTTGTTAATACCAATTGTCACGGTTGTACTTTTTGAGCCGTGTGCAGTTGTGATCTTGACACGCTCACGACCAACCTTAATGGAAACTCAAGCCTCATATTCATTTTTCGCCTGATTTTGCAATTTTGTCAAACCATAGGCGAGATTTGTTTTCGCCAATCGAACATTACTTGTGTAGAATCCAAGCTTATTCGACCACACACACAGCCGCACGTGCATGGTTAATACTCTACACTACGCAAAGTCATTCGACTCAACTTTGCCTCTACTCGAGACCAAAGTCTCTCAATGTAACGTCGCATCCAACATCATCCCAATTAGCATGATCCTCATGTCTCGACGTCATCCCAAGTCATGGGGTGTTGTCGGCCATCGTAACTTACTCGATCATGCCATCGAGAATGGGTTTACGTGTCGTTCATCTCATTAGAACATTTCGAATATCTATTCATCCGAATGTTATCGAGGTATTAACCCTCCCGTGCCCATGCCATGTCATTTACGGACAGTTGGTGCAAATATTTTTTATTACAAATTTTAAAGTAACAACTTAATTTTTTTATTTGCAATAACGTGTAGTTAAACCAAAATTTATTTTTTAACACGTTATAAATTTATTTTTATTGAAAAAGGAGAAAGAATAAGAAAATGTAAAAAGAAATTAAATAATAATAATAATAATAATAATAAAAATAAACCCGGGTGGTCGTTGCCGTCCAACACGGCCATTGCAATTAACAATCTGAAATCCTTCTGTCATCTATTGTACATTTCGTTCTTCTTTTATCATTTCTGGGCGTAAAAGACTGTGAGAGCGAACGGGACTGCAATTCCTAAGAGATTATCGGCCATGGCGTCGCCCTCTTCCTCTGACGAACCTCCAAATCAATCACAGGAACAGCAGCAATCGCCAGTGAAGGAGAAGGAAAAAGAGTGCGTGTATAAGACCAAAGCCATTCAATTTCTGGGCCGCCCTACGCCTATTGTCCTCCAGAACGATAATGGCCCTTGTCCTCTCCTCGCCATATGTAATCATCTCTCTCTCTATCTTTCTTTACCTTCCGCATCTTAGGGTTTCACTTCTGGATTGCTATCTTTTTCTGCTGCCCGACATTTTTGCTTGCTTTATGTGAAAGTTTCTGGATGCCCGGAGTTGATTTAGTTCTGCGGCGGATGGTTTTTCTTGGATCAGTTGCATTTGGAATTGGATTTTGTTTTCTTTTTCTTCTGCTTCTGTCATTCCTTGTGCTTTTCTGATCGCTGGATGTTCTTGTGCTCTAATGAGTCCGTCTCCTCCAATGCTAAATAGTCTTAGAGATCACGTTTTTCTCAGGGACGATCGAACACTCACTCGCCTATAGTAGGATTGCTTTTAATTCCATTCACTCTGCCTACTAGTTTATTCATTATTTATATATTGAATAATAATAGCCATTTTTAGGGTTTATTACTCTTACTCTCTTCCCCTTCCCTGATAGGCATTAATTCATGTATTTTGGGATTTGTTTTTAATGTTATAATGGAAGCGAAAGAACATGAGCATTTTTTGAGAAGATATAATCTATATTTTTGATTCATCAGAAATAGCAATCTAGTAAGGCTAGATTTGTTATTAGCTTCACTTTGAAATTAAGACCTCAGGATACCATATGAAAACTTACCATTGTAGATTAGATTTTTATTATCTGTACATACAAATATTGGAATTCGCTCAGAACTTACTATGATTTCAAAGTGTTTAAAGTTGAAATGTAAAGGGCATAAACTTGAGGGCAAATGGTTTATATTTTCGATACCTTAATGTTCTCTTGGTTGCTCATTTGCAAACTAATGCACACACAATGAGGCTCGTTCTATCAAATTCTTACTGCTAATTTCATCCAAATCAGTCCAACTGCTTCTTAACAGTGTTGAAGAATCACAAAATGAAGAGAAAGCCATTGAGACTTTCTCTCATTAACTATGATGAGATGTACAGTGCAGCCATGTCTATAGCCTGAGGAAAGACCCCACTCACTGCTCTTTCAGTGTAACATACTACGAATTACAACTCTAGTAACAAATAACAATGTTGAAACTGAAAAATACTATCTTAACAGTTTAATACTAAACAAAACAATGAACTAATAACACCCCGTGGTCGGTAGATGTTGGAATCCGTTATGTTCTGTTTTGAACTTCCAATTGACGGTCTTCTCAAATCTCATCATAGAATGTTCTTTTGTTCAAACATTCTGAATGAAGAATTTTTACTCGTGCATTTATAGAATTTATTGGCAGGAGAACAAGGAGCTGTCCCAATGACCCTGGAATCTCTAAAAAAATAAAGAACTTTTTTCATAAATGATAAATTATGCATTAAAATATTGTATATGCGGTGTCTGGCTTATCAGAATATTGTGCACCTCTTTTATGTTGGATTTTGTTGTTTTGCTATTTTCTTGGAAGTATTAGAAGCAATAGTTACGAAAATTTCAATGTTTTTAGCTAGCTTAATATTGATGAAAACTAAAAGGAACAGGTTTCAGGCAACCAAGGAGACTCATTCTATAAAGATTCTTTTATTTTATTATTATTTGGCTTCTTTTGTCGTTCTTTTCTGTTAGACTAGCAAAAGTCCATCGTTGGTTATTCATGTTGGGGTTGTTGCAGGTAATGTTCTCTTGTTGAGGAACAACTTAAATTTGGGTCCAGATGCAACAGAAGTGTCGCAGGAGAAATTGTTATCTCTTGTTGCTGAACGGTTGATTGATTCAAATAGTAATGTTGATGTAAATAATTTTCTTCTGCATACTTTATGAAAATTTTCTCCCACCCCGTTTTCGCCTTATTTGGTTCTTAGATAGTCTCTTGTTGGGTAACAGAACAAAGATGCTGGTTTTGTTGAGAATCAACAACAGAACATTGCTGATGCCATTGATCTGCTGCCACGGCTAGCAACAGGGATAGATGTAAATATTAAGTTTAGGAGGTAGTATAGGCGTTAATTCTCTCCTAGTCTTTTTGTTTTTGCCTCCCTTTTCTGAACTAAGTTTAATGTTGTACTTGCAGGATTGATGATTTTGAATTCACTCCAGAATGTGCCATTTTTGATTTGTTGGATATCCCTCTGTATCATGGTTGGATTGTTGATTCTCAGGTTCTTATATACTTTCTTTCTAATTACTAAGATAAATTTAATTAACAATACTATATAGTTTCTTGTGCTCTTTTTTGGTTTTCATCCCTATTGCTGAGTTGTAGGCATGTGGCTTTATCAATGTCTTTTTTTTTTTCTTTTAATGAGAAAGGAACATTTTAATTGAAGAAATGAAAAAAAAAAAAAAAAAAAATCCAAAAGGAGTGAGAAGAATTAGAAAACAAAGTTACAAAGGGTAAACGAAATCTTCCAATTTAAGCAAAAGCTCTGCACAGAAAAGCCAATGAAAGAATTGGTAAGAGAGCCCCAAGGAGAAGCTTTGAGATGAATTAACTCAAAACAATCCATCTACAAACATTACTCGTCTCTCCAACCATAATTCTAAAATCAAAGCTTTGACTGCATTGACCCAAAGTAATTGAGAGCGAAGGCAAGGAAAGACCTAACCAAGTTGAAGGATGTTACTTTTGGCATCCAAAGAGAAAATCCACAGCAAGCTGCAAATGCTGAAAATTTTGAACCAACAAGTCGAAGAAAACAAGCATTCAAATTATAGATGATTAAGAAACATGTAAAGGAAGCATTTCTTGGATTAAGGTAGACCAAGATATAAGAATGGCAGAGATTCAATGGAGAATTAAGGATTGTGAATGTAGCCCCAAACCCATTGAATCCATTTCGTGTCGAAACACTTTAATTTCATTACTTTAAGAAAGTCCCAATCAACCAAAATAAAAACATTTTTCAATGTCAGGCTTTGAAATCCAAGCTTTTGGCATCTTAACCCTATAAGTACTCCAGAACTTCATTGGCTATTAATTTGGGATCCAAGATTTTCCTACCTCAATAAAAGCACTTTAAGAAACTGATATGATTGAAGGCAATGCTCAGCAGTAACCTTAGGTAGGACCTTCTTAACCGGTGATGTTAAATTAATGGGATGAGGGTATCTAATCGAAGAAAGGGACTTTTTTATTCTGAATTGAACAAATAAATTTCTCTCTTAAACAAAATTTCACATGACCATTGGTGTAAAATTCCTTGAAAAGTCTAGAAAAATTCCCTTTCTAACAAATTTCATAATTTAATAAAGAATTCAATGGTAACCACCCTGAGTTGACCTAGTGGTCAAGAAGGGTCATGCAAAATAAAGAGCTTAGAGGGAATGAGTTCAAGCCATGGTGACCACCTACCTAAGATTGAACAATATATGAGTTACTATGGAAACTAAATGCAGTAAGATTAGAGGCTGTCCTGTTGAGATGTGCACAAGCTGGTCTGGACATTCATGGTTATAAAAAAGAAAATAATTCAATGGTAAATCTATAAAAAAACCAGGGCTTTATTTAATTATTTTTTCCAGACCTTTAATAGCTTTTTATATTTCCTCATCAGAGAAAGGAGTTATTAACAAACTGTTTTCTGCTTCTGAAATAACATTCCAGTGAGATACTGGGGGATGAATCTAGCTTGATGTATACAGAAGAGAAAGAACTAGTAATCTCAGTTTCAATTGAACTAAAAGGCATAAATGAATTACCATTTGCTGAGTGGAGCTCTGAAATCAGGAGCTTTCTTTTCTTTTTTTTTTCACAGCCAAAAAACTGTGGTAAAAGCTAGTGTTCTCATTTCCAGATTTTAACCACTGCAACGTACTTTTTTTAATCAAATTTCTTTCTTCCTTCAAATAGTGGTCCATCACTCGCCTTTAGCTAAAGAACAAGAACTACTCTCTTGAGAAGAAAAAAACCCTGATTCTGATTTCTTACCAAGCAAATCAATTTACGCAAGCAGATTTTTTTCTACAACATTTCTCTTTACTTGATTGATCAGCCTTTGGGGGTACTATTTAAAAAATAGAAATGCGGGATTATGAAGCTTGGTGGTAGCCTTCAGGGTTCTCCGTCACTTGGATTCTCTGAACTTGACCACTAAAGAACTATGATGGATACACCATGTCTACGATCTAGCTTTTTATTTCTTGATTGGAACCACCATAGAACTTGTTGGCAGTTGGCACAAAGACATGTTTGGAACCACCATAGCTTTTTGTTTTGAAAATCTTTTCAGACACTTTATTGATAGTGGGAGTAGAGCAGTCTGCTATCTTTAGCCAGCCATTTGGATTACCTTTTCATTTAGCACCCCCTGCCGCCATTTGTTTCATCCTAGTCCTTTCTACGTGTAGGATCATGATACAGCTAATGCAATTGGTTCCAAGTCCTACAACGCTATTATGGAGGAGCTCGTTGCTCTGGAAACACAACACATGGAGGGTCAGTGTACGAACAATCCTGAAGATGACTGTATTGATTTTGTAGCTGCAACAACAGCAACACTTGGAGTACCATCTCCAAGTCTTTCAAAAGCTCGATCTTTTGATGAATCACCTCGTTCAGTCTTTGATGAGCAACAAATGAGAAAAGGGGATCTTGAAGAAGAGGCAGAGTTATTGAGAGCCTTGAAGTTGTCTGAATCTGAAACACCAATCTTAATGAGTAATCATGGTGTTGCCAACGCTGATGGGGATACTAACTCCACTAAATTGGATGAGGAGCTATCTCCTGAAAAGGTTTCAGTCATAGATTCTGTGGTGAAGACCGTAGCAAAAGACACCTGTGCTGCAGACAATAATCTTAGCCAGCAGTCAGATTCATCCATTGCAGATTCTTGCAAAATTCCATTGAGCAAGACTGATGAAGATGTGTCCCCTATTTCCAATGCAACGGAGCCAGTAAGCTCTTCACCATTGACGACTGATGCGGGAAAGCACCTTGATTGGACTGTTGAGTCTGAAGGGCATAAGATTTGCCCTGATTTGCTGGAGAAGGATAATCATGAAACATTGACTGAGACTGTCACCAGTTCTGGAAGAGAGGGTGCCTTGGTGAATGATAGTCCTGAGGATATTTCTCACATGAACGATAAAAGTGCTTTTTCAGCTGCTTTTGAAACAGTTGACCATAGACCGGTTGATAAGGAAGGCCCAATTGAACTTTCTGGCCTGTCTCCATCTGTTACTCGTACAGATTCAGCAGGTGGTAAAACTCAATGTATTGATGTACCTGAAGGTTTGAATTCAATTGTTGGTAGCGAGCCCATATATGAAGGAGAGGAATGTATATTGGATCCAGGAAGTTCAGTTCTTGAAGTTCGAGAGCCTGTATATGAAGGCGAAGTAGTTATTGCAGAACAAGGTTGTGGAAGCTCTGTAAATTTCTGTAGTCCACCGTCAAAGGATGAAATTAGTCCAAAACAAGGTGGAAGTGATTTATACCAGTTAATGATCCTTCCACTTACCAATATTATATTTATGCCCTTATACTCACCAGGGAGAAATTTCTTCTTAATTGTTATCAGGGGAGCTGATTAGGAATTTTTTGAAGAATAATGCTAGTCAGTTAACTTTTTACGGGTTGGTTCCTGCTTGTCATTCTCAATTTCATTGCTGGGCATTTTTTTGTTTAATTACATTGTTATCGTACAGTTCCTCCATAGTTATTATTATTGCTTTTGCAGCCTTTTCTGTTTACAAGATGGCCTTAAAGAGCGTGAGCTTTGTGTTTTTTTCCGTAATAATCACTTCAGCACTATGTTTAAGGTCAGCAAGAACTTAAATTGTATAATTTTTTTTCCGGCTCCTAGGGCTGTTGGCTTACAGTTACTAATATGAAAATGGTGGGTTCAGCTTTTACATTTAGCTGACCCCGTACTTTTAGTTGAACAATCGATACCAATTTTGTCTCATCACATCTTCAGCTTGATGGCCAGCTTTATCTTTTAGCTACAGACCAAGGTTACATTCATCAACCTGATTTGGTGTGGGAAAAGCTAAATGAGGTAAATCTACGCAGTGAACTTTCTACTGGCATAAATAACTTGGGGCATTTTGCTTCGTTAAAATAGTAATAACAATAAATTTTAAATGAAAACGAAGTAGACATGGAAGCTATAATGATAGTTTAATGATTTGAAAACGTCCTTCGCATGTTCACCTTGATATTTCTCTTAGCTATTTCAAACACTAATCAGGCCCCGCAATTGTACTAATGAACCTTACTTTGACTCAGTTTGTTGATTATTCTATCCAACGTGTCACATCAAATATTTTGCAGGTAAATGGAGACACTTTGTTTATGACGAGCAATTTCAAAGAATTCAAAGTAGAAAGTCATTCAAATGAATCTTGGGATGAACAGAATGCTTTGACAAGCACAGCGGTTTGTGTTTAAAATATTCGAACAATTTTTTACTGCTCCAACCTTTTTTTCTTCAGTAATTTACTGAGATTATTTTGTACATGCTACAGGACTATCTTGCTAGCATTGATGCTGCGAAACATGCCGGATTGGATTTTAAGTAACTTCCTATCTCGTTACCTGTAGTATTATTTACTCTTCTCACAAAAACATGTGAATTAATGCTAGGGAAGTATTAACTTTTTTTTTTTAATATGAAATTGCTTGTGTAGCCCTTCCTGATAATCTTTCAGTGCATATTTTCTTGTTTTTGTGTTTCTTCGGATTAGATGGTCGTAATCTTTCAGGGAACTAATCAAGTAATGGTTTTCTCCCCCTAATCTTTGTTATGTGTGATTTCATTCCTGAACTGTATAATAGTTTGGTTAGCTAGAAATTCTAGTTTCGCCAGTATTTAAAAGTGGAATTGAATTTTATAAGAAAAAGAATACCGAATGTTCTTTTCAGTGAAAAAACATTCACCGTAGTGTTTTAGAAATTCACTTGATACTCCAAGTACATGCCAGTTCCCGTCAGTTGTTAATTAAGAAATTTGACTCATGATTTACAGACTAGGGCTTACTGCTGAATGATCATACTGATATTAAAAATTTTTGCTTCATTCTTGTCGCAGTTCTGACCTACAATTAGCAATAGCCCTGCAACAGCAGGAGTTTGAACAACAACCACAGCGACAAAATGTGCAGCAGCCATCTTCAGGCGGCAGTTCAACGCTGGTTGTGGGTCCTCAGGTAGAGTTTGCTTATGCTTCTACTTTATCTTCATGCCATAGATTCTCAGCATCCATTTTTTATTTTTTATGGCATATTTCATCCGGACCTGGTCACTTATGCTTTCCATAGTTGTGATCTTCAAGGAAACTAGCAAAAAGACATGCCCCCAATTAAAAATCTTACAAGTTTAGTTGAACTTTCAAAATTTGGTGGATAAGAAGTCTCTAAAATTTAAGAAATATTTAGTTGGTCTCTAAACTTTAAACTTCATCAAGTCCTTTAACTTTCTTAAGTTGGCTAAGTTGTAAAATAATACCTTTGAAATTTGCCATTTATTTTAAGAATACCCTATTCTTTTAAAGGTTGCGATATTATTCTTTTCCTTTTATAAATGTTTCAAAGCCTCCATTGGAGTAGAAATTGGTAGAAATCCGTTAGATTGGTAGACAAAAATTGAGACATATGGTGGTGATCTAGAATGAAAATTGAGACCTGAACACCACCGAACCTGTTTCAAGTCCCAAATTTAATCCAAAATTTTGAAGGACTTCTACTCCTTGATCTCCACAACAACAAAGAACTTGAGAGAAATGTACTGTTCTATTGGAAATCAACAATGTCAACAATGTTCACCGTATAATATCATCAGCCTAACAGTTCGAAAACGGAAAAGATGAAGAACAACAAAATACTCCTGGGTCCGGCTATTCGGGAGCCAGTTCCTCTCCTCCCAAAAGGCAATCAGCCACTTCAAAATTCACGTACCTTTAGCTAGCTTCCCAAATCCCTACATAAACCCACATTTTGGTCCCCACCTTATGGTAAGCGCTCAGCCACTCATCCCCTTAACCAGCTGTATCATGTAAATTTCCCCCTTTTCCCTTCGTTGCACATGTCTGTATAATTGGAGGCCTCAAGGGTAATATTATAACTTTTTAAAAAATACGAGTATTTTTTAAATGAAGGACGAAGTTGAAAATTAGAGAAATCTATTAGATACTTTTTATGTTTGATAACTTTATTAGACAATTGAAAGTTCAATGATTTATATCATACACTTGTTGAAGTTTAGGGGATCTATTGAACTAGGTTGGGAACTAAACTTGTAATTCAACCAAAATTCTACAAGATAACTTACAAAAAGAAATTGTCAATCTAATCCAATTTATTTTTCTATTATTTAATTTTTCATTTGTAAAAAGAAAAAGCATATTTCGTTTAGGTCTTGCATCTACTTGCACCATATATTGCAACATTCTTCCTCGGAAGTTTTTTTTAGGTTTTTGGTCTTCTCAAAGTTTTGTAGAACCCGCCCCATTTCCATCTCCATTTCCCCATTTACTTCAAAAAAAAAAAAAAAAAAAAAAAAAAAAAAAAAAAGCAATTGTATCTGAGAGTCATTTTGCAGGTGCCTGGAACCAGTGGCAAAACCCCGCCATCTTCTTCGTCAAGGACTGACATGAAATCGAAGGAGAAGTGCAGTGTGATGTGAATTTTGCTTTGCAGATTCCGTAGGAAATCATTTATATTTTGTTCCCTGTAAATGGTTTGTTGTCTTCTCAATTGAACCGCATGCTGTTGACTAACCTAATTCCTTACGACAGTATGGATGCAGTTTTCCATTTTGTATATAAAGGAGTATATATCCCATTCCCCCATTTCTGTAGGCTCATAATATCTTTTCTTCTGGATATTAACATCAGAGGATATGTAAGAAACGCAGAGCTATGTATCTTAAACATCAATTGGAAAGCCAAGTACGCACTCTCTCCCTCTTTGTGGTATAAATGATTATTTGTTTCTTTCATTGCACCTATGAAAGAGTTCTACATTTCAATATTACAGGGAATATAATGTTTACTCTTTTAAGGGTTCAACCCAAGGCCACCGCTAACCGATATTGTCCTCTTTAGACTAATTTATGGGCGAACCACTCATCAGGTTCTTCCTCAATTTTTTGCTGAAACTAGCAATATTAAGGCTGTTGTTTTTGTTTTTTAGTTTTCTGTTTTTTGAAATTTATGTGTATTTCTTCTTGGACTTTGTTCTATTATTTTCATCTTTCTAAAAGAAACGTTTGAGTTCTTGGTCAAATTCGTTCGTCCAACATAAACAAGTTTTAAAAAAACTACAATTTTTTTTTTTTTTTTTTAGTTTTTAACATTTGACTCAGCATAGATAGGCCTGCTTCTCTTGATTAAGCGATGTGTATGATCCTTGTGAACCCTATATTCCTCATTAAGAGTTTTTATTTATTTATTTTATTTTACTATTTTACACACTTAAAAATTTATGTGATTTTCTATGTTAGGCTTTTCTTTCCCTGTGTGGGTCAGAGCCTAGCCCAGAAGAGCTTTAAGCTTTGGGCCAGAAGGCCCAGAGTAATCGCAGGCCGGGTCCGCCATCCAAATTGATGTCGCTGCCGTCCTCTCTTTCCTTATCCCATAAAATCCCATACACTTAACACTATTACTATATAAACTAAAAATAAAATAGCAATAAATGGAAGAAGAGGGTTAGGTTCTTAATGCTTATAAATAACTTTTAAAATATAATTATTCAACCATATTTTTCAGCTTAATAATATAAATAAAAAAAAAAAGGGTTTGATTTGACTTTATCCTACCAAATTAGCGCTATAATTTACTCCCACTTCTATTTTATTGGCTAATTATTGTTTTCAATTAATTTAACCAACGAATTGACTTTGGAACATTCATTAAAGAAAAAGAAGAAAAAAAAATGTATTATATTATATATATTTGGGAGCCGATGAAACAAATAAAACGAAAGCTCAGACATGGTGTGGGTCCCACTCCCTATTTTGACCACTTTATTTACTGTTAATTAATATTACCATTTTATTTATTTATTTTAAAAGTGGGGACCACGGAAACACACACGGTCGCTATCTAGTGGGGGCGGGGGATGTCGAGTACGCGACAAAAGAGCAAAAGCTGTGAGAAGTGGACCCCACCCACTACTTGCCGCCATCTCCACCACCCACCATTTTCTTTTTTCTTTTTTTTTTTTCCAAAAGTTTTATATATTTTTTCACGCAATCGATGAAATCGGACGGCTCAAAATGGTGATTACATATAGATTAAATTTTAATGCAACATAGCTAAAGAACAAAGAAAATTAATTACATTAATTCGTTAATTACTAAATTATGATAATTATGTTATTTTAGTATCTAGATAATTAATAGATTATGTAGTGGTCTAAAACTAATATTCTAAGTAATTTTTTCTCTTAAGATTGGTTAAGTAGGTTTAAGTAAGTAATAATTAATGGTTTTGTTGCTTTATTAACAAATAATAATAATAACATATATAAACATGAAATGTATGCGAGTTGATGAGTAAGTAGAAACTTTTTTCTATCAGACACATTTTATAATTACGAGACTGAAGACAATGACAAAAGACAATATTGAACGATAAGATTGGACTATTAATGCTCCTTAAATGCATATGAGTTAAAATAAAATAGAAATAAAGGCAACAACGAAAAATTTTATTTTATTTATTTTCTATTCTCAATCTTTTTGTTAGGGTGTTTGTGAGTTAAATTTTTATTTTTACTTAAAATAAAATATATATTTTGGAGGTGAGAATATTGTCTAAGAGTTGTTAAAAAATAAATAATTATAAAAAAAAATTATATATGTATATATATTTGAATATATTGTATATTTATAATATAATAATAATTATTATTATTTAATCTAAAACATCACATCTAACATATCCCATCCGATTTGCCCAATTAATACTCCATTCAGACTATCGCGAAAAAAGTTAAAATAATAATTTTAAAAAATTAAGAGAAAAAAAAAAACGAAAAAAAAGGGGCCAATCCAACGGCTTGTATCATCCCATCAAATCAAGAAACCTGATTATCCGGTAGTTGATGGAAGTGGGGCCCTCCCGCCCTACCAACTTCGCGCCTAAACGCTTGTTACGTAGTCGTTTTGTGTCTAACCAACCCTTCCCTTAATTTTTAATTTATTCATGAATTAATTTGATTTTTAGATTTTTCTAATTAAAAAAATTCAATTATCTATCATATTCCTAAGTTTCAAATACTCGGTTAATTACAAACTTAATATTTTTAAATCTTTATAATAATATTAAAAATAAAATTAGGTTGAGTTAGGTTGTTACACTATTTCGAATTATTTCGAATTAGTCGAGTTGACTTGACAAAAAAATGTCAACCACTAACTGACCTAATTTTTTTATATGAATACTTTAGCTATTAATCTCAAAAAATGATGTCGAAAATCAACCATTTTTTAATTGAGGCACAACTATTTTATTTCGTGTATTTTTCACGAATTATTTTATATACATTTATAAACCAACCCTCCTTTTAGCTGATTTTGAGTAAAAATATAATAGCTTTTAGGAAAAAAAACGAACCAAGCGATAAAGATAGGTTGAATAAAGACGTGGATACCAATCATTTCTTTATCGGACCAATAATTTATTTTATTTTTAAAAAAAATATGTCATTTTAATTAAATAAATAAATAAAACTCTCCAATAATATTTAAAAAAAAAACCAAAATAAACACTTATTGAGTATTTAATTGGTTTGGCAATTTTAGGTCTTTCTTTGGACGTCTCATCTTCCCTAAAGGCTCAACCAAACATAATTAATTAATTAATTAAATTAAATTAAATATCAAAATTAATAAAGAAAAAGGAAAATGTGTCAGGGTGCGGGCATAGAGAAGAGCAGCTTTATCTTCCTTTAATTAAATATTTATTTATTTATTTAAATAAAAAATAAAAAAAATTAATGATTCGGTAGCCTCTGTTATCAATGACCCTTTTGCCCTAACACAAAACAAATTCTCTTTCTCTCTCTTGTTCTTCTTCTTCTTCTTCTTCTTCTTCTTCCTCTTTTTCTCTGTTTGTACAATTTTCTGAAATTCTCAGAGGTGTTGCAGAAAGTTTTGTCTCGGATCCCTATATACTCCTCTCTTTCTCTCTCTTCTTCTTCTTCATTTCACTCCATTAACGACAAACTGTCTCTTATTCATCATCAAATTCGATCAAAATTGAATCCCAACAATTTCCACTATCGATCTCACCTCGCGGCTTCTGTTCTTTCTAATTACTGCTGTTTTTGTGTTAATTTTACTCTACTGCGGGTTTTGTGGGGGTTTGAAATGCAAGAAGCTGGGTTGGGAATCATGAATGGTGGTGCGTCTAGCGGTGATGTTTTGGTTTCCGGTGAGGGGGTTCATAATGCCCAACTCAAGGCGGAGATTGCTACTCATCCACTTTATGAGCAGCTTCTTTCCGCTCATGTTGCTTGTCTTCGTGTTGCTACGCCGATTGATAAGCTTCCGATGATCGATGCTCAGCTTTCTCAATCGCATCATGTTTTGCGCTCTTATGCTTCCTCTCTTCAAAATGCTCATTCCTTGTCGCCTCATGACCGCCAGGAACTCGATAATTTTCTGGTGATTTTGTTTTTTCATTTGGTTGAGAGTCTTGCTTGTTTTGTGTTCTGGGTTGAAATTGGGTTTCATTTTATGATGGATTCTTTTTTTGTTGTTCAGGCTCAGTATATGATCGTTTTGTTCTCTTTCAAAGATCAGCTTCAACAGCATGTGAGATTTCACGCAGTGGAGGCTGTTATGGCCTGCCGTGAAATTGAAAGTACTCTACAAGCTCTAACAGGTATATAGTTCATGTCTGTTCTTTTGAAAACCCACTTGAAATCCAAAAAAGAAAAACGAAGCGAAACCCATGATTTGAACTTAGACATGGATTCTTTGTGTTATAGTATTGAAGTTAGAACTTAGAACCTGTTTGAATTTGGAAGCATTTGGGGAGATGGGGTAAGGAAGTAAAGAGGAGTAATATGAAAGGGAAGGGCATAGGGGTTTGGTTTTGGGGTTTGAAGGATGATGGACACTGTGAGAGCAGGCTTGGAAGTGGGTGCAAAAGGGTTCTACTTGGACATACCAAGTTTGTAGTTGGGTTTGGTGAGGACACCAACCGATAAGGTTGCTTGCCTTGGCAATATTTGTTCCATCTCTATACAATATTAATATTCTTCCTATTATTATACTTGTTCATCTTTTTGCTTTGTAAAGATGGTGCATGAACCTCGCTGGCTACTCCTTTTCCTCTCCCTATTCTGTGTGTATATGTACCTAGGAATAGTCCAAGGTTTCCATATTTTTGTAAAGAATGTTTCGTTTCCCTCTCCAACCAATGTGCGATCTCACAACCCACCCCTTAGAGGCCAGAGTCCTAGCTCTCACACCCCTTAGTTGTTTGACTATGATATTATATGTAACAATTCATTCAAGCCTAATTCTATCAGATATTGTCTGATTTGGCCAGTTACATCTAGTTGTCTCCCTCATGGTTTTAAAATATGTCTAGAGAGAGGTTTCCACACCCTTATAAGGAATAGTTCGTTTCCCTCTCCAACCGATGTGGGATCTCACAATCCACCTCCCTTGGGGTCAGCGTCCTCACTAGCACACTGCTCGGTGTCTAGCTCTGATACTATTTGTAATAGCTCAAGCTCACCGCATATTGTTCTCTTTGTGCTTTTCCTTTTGGGTTTTCACTCAAAATTTTTTAAATGCATCTACTAAAAAAAGATTTACACATCCTTATAAAGAATGTTTTGTTCCACTCTCCAATCATTATATGATTTCTCAACATATATAGGCCATAAGAGCTACACTCATCCCGCATGATTACCTTAATCACAACGGATCCTTTTCGAGGATATCGATATACCCAACAAGATAAGTTTTATTGCTTAAAAAGTCTTCATTGGTGAGTGAACTTTTTAGTTACATGATTAACCAAACAATTTGCTTAATGTAAGTGTTGCCATCCAAGCAGTTGATTGGGGGGATTAAAGGAAGTACACATGTTATCATAAAGTAATCTGTTGCTTATTGATAGGTTTGCCAGTTTTAGACCTGTCCACCTATAATGGTCCCTAGGTTCTCAATTTATGTACCTCCATGGAGCTCATGATCAGTTATTTTGCTTTGTAGAACACATAGAAACTATTCATTACTGTGTCTGCCAATGGGTGCTGCTGAGGACCTAAGGGCTGTGGTGTAGGGTCTTAAGTGCCTACACAAGCTTTTATATGAAGGACCCTATGCCGCCTAAAGGGCATTGGAGGCTCATCCTGACAGTATTTAACTAAATGGCTACACTTTAGGCAGCTTTTTTGGTCTGCTAAATTTGGATCGGTTAGAAAAAGAGCCCAACATTGGGTAAACAAGTCAAACAAATTATTACTATCATTCAAAATTTTTAGGCATTTATGTCGTCTTTTTTTAGCGGGAGATTCAATTTCTCTCTTCCTCTAGAGATTCTTAATCGATTGGAGATTAGAAGAGAAATGAAACATTATTTATAAGGACGCGGAAGTCTCTCCCTAATAGACGTGTTTTAGAACCGTGAGATTGACGGTGATACATAATAGGTCAAAGTAGACAATATCTGCTAATGATGGGCTTGAGACGTTACAAATGGAATCAGAGCCAGACATCGAGTGGTGTGCTAGCGAGGATGCTGGCCTCTATGGGGGTGGATTGTGAGTTCCTACATCGGTTGGAGAGGAGAACGTAGCATTCTTTATAAGGGTGTAGCAATCTCTCTCTAGTAGATGCGTTTTAAAATTATAAGGTTGACGGTGATACGTAACGGGACTAAAGCGGATAATATCTGTTGGTGATGAATTTGGGCCGTTACTGTTACCAAACATGTACTGATAATATAAGGGTTGAAGTGCCTTTTACCAACTTCGTATGCTAATTTAACATGTTCCTTCAGGAGTAAACCTTGATGAAGGCACTGGTTTAACAATGTCCGACAATGACGACGATGATGTTCCAATGGACTTCTCACTCGATCAATCTAGCACTGATGCACACGACATGATGGGGTTCGGACCGCTGCTTCCGACCGAATCCGAAAGGTCGTTAATGGAGAGGGTTCGACAAGAACTAAAGATTGAGCTGAAACAGGTTCCTTTTTTTCCCATTACATTGGAGATTGAAGAGGCAAAAACAAAGAACTAATGGAGGAACATGTTTTTGTAGGGTTTCAAGTCAAGAATTGAAGATGTGAGAGAGGAAATATTGAGAAAAAGAAGGGCAGGGAAGCTACCTGGGGATACAACTACAGTTTTGAAGAACTGGTGGCAGCAACATTCTAAGTGGCCTTACCCAACTGTAAGTATTAAACAAACAAAACATGTTTCGAAACGATGAATTCTAAGTTCGAATCTTTACAATGTCACCCGTCTTCCCGATTTTCAGGAAGACGACAAGTCGATGCTGGTGGAGGAGACGGGTTTACAGCTGAAACAAATAAACAATTGGTTCATCAACCAAAGGAAGAGAAACTGGCACAGCAACACTCAGTCAGTGACATTCTTGAAGTCCAAGCGCAAGAGATAATAAAAACAACAACTTTCATCAAATTATATGAAATATTTTTATAGCTTTGGGAAAAAGTTCCGACAAAAAGAGTGACAGAAACATAGGATTAAGAACATTGTGACAGAGATTGGATTAACATGTCTTTTGTTTAAGGTTGTAAATTGTTCCTTTTTAACACATCAAATTCAATGCAAAAGCAAAAATAAGTGAATATTGAGGATATAAATAATTTAATTAATGGTTTGGAAATTAGGTTTATCCTGAAAATATTATTTATTTACTATTTTCTTTAAATTACAATGAAATTAATTAAATTTATAATCTCAACCAATTATAAGTATATATGATTCAAGTTTTTTTTTTTTTTTTTTTTTTTTTGGGCTTATTGTTACAGCTACAATATATTAAGAATTAATTTAGAATTAAAAATAATAAATTATAATAACTAATAATTGAACCATTTTTAAAAAAAAAAAGAAAAAGAAGTTATATTAATATTTTGGGAGAGGCTTTGCGGGCCAATAATGGGCTTCCATGGTTGTCATGGGCCTCAAACCAGCCCATTTTACTCCAATATTTCGACTAAACACTTAAAAAGATTTTAAATTAGATAAAAATGGGTTAAAATATAATACTTATTACATATATCAATCATCTTTAATTTTTTTTCCAAAAAATTTTCTTTGATTTAGGGAGTGAAAATAAATTATGAATAATAATAATAATAATAATAATAATGTTTTTTTTATTTATTTAGAACCTTGGCAATGATTCAATTATAGGAATTTTGATAACGAAAATGATTTTTTATGGAATACATGAGCCCGTCACATTATTTCTATGAGCATTTCCGTAAGAAATGAACGTTTACATAATAGATAAACTCGTCACATTATTTTTATGAGTATTTTCATAAAACCAGTTTTGGTGGTAATAAACATTACTCACCCCATGAAAATTGATATATATACGATTTTTCTTTTGTCGGAGATTCAAATATCAATACTAATAGGTTTGATTTTGTAGTCGAACTAAAACCAAACCGTGAGAGATACACAACACTAACCCTAACCGTTCTAAATTGATTAACTAACGGTTTGGTCAATTTGATTTGATGGTGCGTTGAATTTGCTACAATTCGCATTGGATGGGTGTCACTCCAGATCGAACCCGTGCTGTCAAGTTTACCGTGCCAACTCTATTGGGTCAACTCGACTAAATTCGGTTTATTTTTTGAAAACCCAAAACCGACCAAACCCATCGGACCGAACCGATTTTTCCTCGTCTTATCATTGGTGAACAGGTCATACAAAGTGAAACGTCACCAGTGCCACGTGGCGCATCGTGGATCTATTATGTCACCAATCCAGACAACTCTGAAGCGGGACCCAATCCACTAAGTTGCCACGTTTCTTTTTAATATATATTTTTATACATTTAGTTTAATAATAAAATTCGATTCGACTTAATTATATCTGAAATTGCAAAACGCATGGTGCATTAAAATAAATTTATTTAATAAAATACAATTAAAAAAAAGTTGGAACAGGCTGGAGTCAACATTGCTACAAGAACCACAACAAAATAATAATAAAATGTTAAATTTAAATCTATTATACATTTTTAAAAATTTTAAAAATATTATTGAATTTTGGAAACATTTATGATCAATAGTTTTTTAAATTAACGATTTAATCACTATTAAATTAATGAATAATTCCTTAAATTCATACACCACATTAATGAAATTATTTAATTCGCAAATAAATTATTTTTGTGTGTATATATAAATCCTCCGGATTCAGATGGAAGACAAGAACTGAGCCTCTTCTTCTTCTTCTTCTTCTTCAATCCTTAATCAATCCAGTTCCTTCTGCTATCAGCCATGGGTGTTCTTGCTGACAGTGGCTCAGCTCCGTCGCTCAAGTTCTTGATTTACGGCCGTACCGGCTGGATTGGCGGTTTGCTTGGGAAGATCTGTGAACAACAGGGAATTCATTTCGCTTATGGCTCTGGCCGCCTCGAGAACCGTGTCTCCCTTGAGGCCGACATCGACGCCGTTAAGCCCACTCATGTCTTCAACGCCGCTGGCGTCACTGGTCGCCCGAATGTCGACTGGTGCGAATCGCATAAGGTCGAGACCATTAGAACCAATGTGGTTGGAACCTTGAGTTTGGCCGATGTGTGCCGTGAGAGAGGGTTGATCTTGATTAATTACGCTACTGGATGCATTTTCGAGTACGATTTGGCGCATCCTCTCAATTCCGGGATTGGATTCAAGGAGGATGAAATCCCTAACTTCATTGGATCGTTTTATTCCAAGACTAAAGCTATGGTAAGTTCCTGATTTTCACTGCTTGATTGTTGTTGTTGTTCTTGTTTTCCTCTTCTGTTGGAACTTGGTGTTGTATGTATTTAGATTCATTCTGAATTTTGATTTTAGATCTAATAAGACCAGAGTGAATTGTTTTATTTAGAGAAATCACAACTGAAATCCGCCATCATTGTGATTGATATTAGGGATTTGTTTTCCAAGTTAAATAGCTCATTTAGAGATTGGATTTTTGCTTGGCGGAGTTTGTGAATGTTCTTTAGATCTGGATTGCTATTACATTGATTAGAAAGAATTATACATGGTTGTCTTGAATATTCTGATCATTGATCGCTGTTTTGATGAAAATGCATCAAATGTGTTCTTTGAACCCGATGGGCTGATCCTATTTTTATGTCACTTTCACATTTTGGGGGTTAAAAAGGTGGAGGATCTGCTGAAGAACTATGAGAATGTGTGCACCTTGCGGGTTCGGATGCCCATATCCTCTGACTTATCTAATCCTCGCAACTTCATTACGAAGATAACCAGATATGAGAAGGTTGTCGACATCCCGAACTCGATGACAATCTTGGACGAACTCCTCCCGATCTCAATCGAAATGGCGAAAAGAAACCTCACTGGAATATGGAACTTCACCAACCCGGGAGTGGTGAGCCACAATGAGATCTTGGAAATGTACAAGCAATTCATTGACCCCAATTTCACATGGAAGAACTTCACTCTGGAGGAGCAAGCCAAAGTGATCGTCGCTCCACGGAGCAACAACGAGCTCGACGCAACCAAGTTGAAGAATGAATTCCCTGAACTCCTATCCATCAAGGACTCCCTAATCAAGAATGTGTTCAAGCCAAATCAGAAAACCTCTGCAGCTTAAGATCATTGGTATTTCTGATCCATATGTCCTCTTCTTTGTGTTTCTCCTTAGCCACTTCCATTGATTCGAATCTTTGACGACGAGTTCTCGAATATCAAAGCTTTCCCCTTGATTTCCCATACAACATAGAAGCTTGATTATTATCCATATTTGAATACCATATCTATTATTTTGTTCATCATTTGAATAAAAGTAGCTTGAAATCCTATGTAGAACAAGATGTAGCATTTTGGTATCTGTAACTTTGCTGATTTGGGTATAAGATATTACTGAGAACTTATGTGTTTTATGAGTAAGGATTTCTATATTACTGGTTGAAATTGTTCGTGAATGTAGTTATCAATGATTCCCAACTGCTCTCAAGCCTCATAAACTCTGTCTCCTTCTCTCTTATGAAAGTGAAATATTTCCTTATTGTTATCTATTCTTTGATTTCTGTAGTTTTCTGGCTCTTCTGGAAATGGAAATGATGATGATGATGATTAAACTATCCATGAATGAAACATTGGATTTCTTGATGAACAAACAGCCAAACCCTAATGGGGTTTCGCCAAGAACTTCAGGCTTGAAGGCTTCTGATTGATTGATTGATTGATTTAGCATGATCATCTTCTGATAAGTAAGTTCATGAACACTTCATGATTCCACTTGGGATTCTTGTCTCAAATTCTGATTCTTGACCATCATTCCCCACCACGGATTTGGTTTCACTGTTCTATGGGAGACGTTGAACAACGGTGGTTCCATTGATATATATGATCATAGTTTTATGTATGCGCCAATCTACGACTCTTCAATGGTAAATTTTTTTAATTCATTCCTTATTGATTTTTGAAAAAAAAATATTTATTTTAGTCTCGAAGTTTGTTTATAATTTCATGGTTATAGATTTAGATTCCATTTGGTCCGTTTTAAAATGTTACATTTTTACCAGCATTTTGAGTTTGATTTTCATTTAGTTCTTAGATTCTTAGCTCTTGCGCTTTTATTTCTGAGTAATTAATACTTGTTTTGTTTTTTTTGTCTTTGAAGTTAACTTTTAATCAATTCAGATAAGAAAATAACATTCATAATATCTTATTTCATCCACAAGTAAATATTTCGAAGCAGCTTTATTAAACTATACATCTTTCTTGGTATATCTAAATAATAGGCAGGAGCATAAACTGAAACATTATGGAGCTATAAAGATAAAGAGTAACGATAGTAAGTGATCGATTTCTCGGTATAAATTAAGTCGTTTGTGTTTTCTTCTAACAACTCTCGACGAGATTGAAAGAACCAGAAAGTGATAGAGAGTGATTGTTTGCTCACTCTAGTAATAAAACCTTCAAAATTTGTAGACAAGATGACTCTATAAGAACGCCCATCAACGAGTCTCATAAGGTAGGATCCTTAGATCTAATGGTCGATGAATCGATTGATCTACAAACAAAGCCGAGGATGAACCCATTTAGCATTCATTAAAAGGTAAAGCAAAACCAGATGAAGGGCAACTCTCCTTTGGCAGGACATGAAAGGGTAACAACCCCATTTGCCTGCCAAGAGGAGAGAAGCCCTTCTGCTAGTTGGCTTAATCAATGATCCAAACGATGAAGGGACTTGGAGAGCTTATACTTTTATGCAGCGCCACGACTTAGACACCTTTATAGGGAACTCAAATTTATGGAAACCAAAGAATATTGGATCCTAAGCATATGCCATTGGATATCCTTTTCTTCCATTATTCCCCTTTGTTCTCGCCCGAAAAGCCCTAATCTCTTACGAACATTATTCTTCTCCTTCTGATATTGACCCATCATCATTTTCATCTCGCTCGTTCATAAAAATCAAGCGACCAAAACGAGCAAGGGCGATAAAAAGTGACTTATTATTGGAGAGAAGATAGATAGATGCTTTTCTTTATCTCAATAAAACTCGATCTCTTTCCTTTTCTTCTCTCCCGTTTTTCTCCTACTTCCACTCAAAATTATCGTGTCTTTGGGTGCCAATGCTTCAAATGGTTCGT